TTTTCAAAATTGTTTACTATTAATGATAATAATAATAATTCCAAGGGTTAATGTTTTCCGATTGGACTCAGTATTAGTAGTAGTAGTAGTAGCTCAATGGCTAATGTTTTTGACGTCTTTAAAAGGCAAGGGTTCTGGGTTCGAGCCTCTCTCTGTGTCTGTTGAACATCAATATTTCGATGCTGATGTATTCGAATGATGAGTCCTAAAGTAGGATGATACACGCGTCTTGAGTCACTATCTCACTCTGCTAAACCATTATAATTGTCTAGTCCTAAATACCAATTATGAAGTATTAGTTCCTTCAAAAAGTTTCAATATACACCTTGTAACAAATATCATCTAATTAACTAACATACGATTACGGTTATCGATTTATTTTGATCATAAACTGATGCAAAGTGTGAACCACTCGAGGGGGGTCATTAGACAGTTGTCGTTGTCGCAATTTCATTAAGGTTTAGCAACGCACTTACCTATGATTGATTTTCAACACCGTTCCCCTCAGATGTACTGTACTTGCAAGTCTAAATAAATAAGTTTGTCCTGGAAATTATCATATAGGATAGATGGATTGTAGCTAAATGAGTCCAGTTGGCCACTCATCAGTTGTATTGATATACCTGTATCACAATGTTGATTTCAATTCCATTGGGAGCTGGATCCAGTAGCTTTCATTTCAAACGCACAACTCATTTTCCCACTGATCTACTAATTGAAATTTCATCAAGATTATGAACAGTGAGCTAATTCAAATGCTTGCTGATAATTGATATGAAATGTATACCAGTTTCCAGGTATTATCAGGTTGATACAATAATCAATGTAACATGTAATGGAGAGAAATATTTATCTACATAAGAGTAGATAATTTAGAAAGATGTAAATGTTGAATAATTTTTACGATGCATTTATCCCTTGTGAAGCAACATTTGAAAATCCTGGTAACAGAAGTAAGATGTCATGTTTAAGTGTGGATTCGTGTAGCAATGAACAATTCCAGTGTCGTTACAGCATATCTTATCTCAACATAGTGCACGCAATGTCAAGTTACCTAGATTGTTGGCCATATTGCAATTCGGTCGATAGGATTCGATCTGCACTCAGAACGACTTGACGTACATGACATTCATCACCACATAGTGATCAGTCAATTGTAGGTGGTCTATATGTCCAACTAAAATCGGTTCACGAGACCATATCTCAATGGTACCGTTAGATAATTGTTTCACATTTAAAATGGTTGAATTTCATTGATCATAGATTTTCGCTAAGTCTCCATGAATTATCTCTCAAAATTAGTCACTATTGAACAACTATCGATCGCTTCCTGATTTTAAATAATTGATGTAGACCATTGAAAAAAATTATTTTTAAGGTTTAAGGGGTGCTCGAAATATGTATAGATAAATAGGTTCCAATAAGTGTATTAGCAAATGTCCATCAATTCATACTTTCATCTAATCTCTTTGATATCTTTGGTCAAAAAGGGAGATCATTCTCAGTCTGAATAGATCGGTGATAACGTGTCTGACTATGAAGCTTGGTAACGCAGGTTATAATTCTATTGGGAGCGTCAGTTCCCTCAAGATTACAAGTACATCTTGGTGAAAAGTAGTAACTAGCACAAAACTAAAGTCATTATAGGGTTTTCTGTTGATTACCTCAAAAAACTACCTTATATCTCAGCATGGTGCACACGATATTGAGTCAATTAGACCAGAGACCATATTACAACCTGAATGATAAAAATTCGATCAGCACTCAGTGACTAGACAAATACCTTACTGGCCACTACTCATTGATTAACTAATTGCAAATATCATGTTTTAGGGTTATAAAGTAGTAGAGAGTAGACAGTTACTCAACTGTAGCACAAGTTAATAGAAAAACGAAAGGGATTTTTGTATCTGTGTCAACATTTTGACACCATACACAACCTCTTCATTGAGATCAGTCTGATTATGTGTATATATGTATGAAAGGTGATAAGTTTTACTCATGACATGGGAAACTGTTATTTGACCTATAAAATGGATAAAGATTAACTTTTTCGACAGAATATCACACTACTCAAATCCATAAGTAGCATAAGTGGTATTATCTTTTCGTTAACGTATATTGATTACATCTGTTTATTTGTATGTGTATTGTATGTCCTAGTTTTTTCCATCTAATCATCATTCACTTGTCTACTATTTATTAATGTCACAATGTCTTGAACTAGGTGTCGGCCAGTCGAAGTTAATCAGCTGTTGTATCGAAAATAAATTGGTTTTAATCTAGTTTACGTCATTTCAGTAAACCAAAATGTATGTCTAGACAGATAAATCTCATGTTTAGAAAACAGAAACCGGGTCAAGGTCAACGGATATGTGCTTGTTTATTTACTTATTTGTTCGCTTGTTTATTGTTTGTTTGTTTGTAGTTGGTCCGCCTTATAGACATCCATTTATATTCTTATAGAAGAAAAAGGATAGAAAGTGTAGATGGTGTACAAAATTGAAACATATTTAGCGTTTGGTTTCTCTCAGTTTGTTACAATTTTGAGATTGACTACATATACAGGGATAAATGCACATACTCACACAAATCTGGAGTTAAGATAGGAAAACAATGTAAACAATAGGAGGAGGGGGGATAAGAAGCAAACTGAATGATTTTTATAGTTTAAAACATGATTAATCAATTGTTTGTGTGTCTAGAATTAGAACAAATAAGTTTGGACAGTTTAATTAATTAATAAAACCACCCAAGAATTAATGTTGGAACATCAGAATTAAGAAAGCATATTTATAATATTCATTAAAGTTGGATTCGTGGTTAGTAACGGAAAATAGGAGGGGTGTTTCATTCTATCTGGGACTCGTCAACTGGATAAACTTGTATTTCAGTGTTGATGTTCACACTAATTCTGGAACATAATGCCTATCACTTTAAATGTTCAGCGTGCTATGCACTTAGCTGTTGATTCTAAATATTCATTAACTTATGCAACAGGTATAAATTTTATTTGTAAGGGCTTGTATTTTCACGTTGTTGATGTTAGGGTTTGTAATTGCTCAGTCTCTATTGTATGTGTGCAACCTGAGAGGGTTGTCTCGATATTCATTTGATCAGTTAGTCATAAACAATTAGAACCTGATATACGTGTTCATCGGTTCAAGTTATTATATCACATTAATACAGTGAGATGAAATTATCGATTTTCAAATGGCATATTTTATATTCGTAACAATCAGCATCTGCCGTTTACTCATCTTCAATTGCGAAGATTGTCCACCGATTTGACTGATTGGAGTTATTTCTGCAAGGTATTTTTCACTCTAAAGACTCCAGACGGAATTGCTGGTTAAATTGATGTAACAATTTCTATTTATCCACCATATATTCTGATTGTAGCTGCTGATTTGATGTGGTGGTCAGGCTTGTCTATTGTGATGACTCAGTCGAGCTATATTGGGTGGAAAACATGTTCTTTTAGGTTCTGCCATGTCAGGAATGTCGGTTGGATAATGGTAAGACTAAAAGTAGTGACTTAATATCCGAGAGTGGAGTTTTACTGATGACTGTGGGAGGAGGTTGACAATAGTGAGGTGTTTTCCTCAGACAACCAGCATCTGCAGCAATGCCAAACCAAAGCATGACACCAGGTTATGAAATCACTGAGAGTTAAACTAAGCCATGTAGCTAGGTGTAGACTACGTGGTTGGGACCGACGAGATTATCGTAACCAATGATTGGAGACTGTGGATGACATGATTCAGAATCGTTTGTGATGATGGAAGTTCATTGAATCTTCATCTTCTCTTAGATTGTAAAGTTTTGAATCCGTGATAATTTTTTTGTTTGGAATCGTATCTTCTATGTCTGACCTTTTCAGTTACTACGTCTACTACTCCACGCTTCACAGGTACGAGGTTCTACGTTGCGACTAACTGACTGACTTATCCATTATATATAAAATGTTTAAATTCCAGTGTATTCATTCGACTATCATTTTTTCTGTCTTAGAATATTGATAGAGAAGAAAATTATATCCCGTATTTGCCATCTCAGTAACTTCTAATGTACTCAAAATTCTTTATTTATTTCTATGTGTCTGTAATGGTTGGAGCTATTGACTGACACTAACTAGCTTACAGTTAGTTACTTATATACATGTAAACTATACATTGAATATATCATTTTCACATCTACCTTCAGTCGTCCTTTATATGCTCCATAATTCTTTCAATTCTATTGTTATTACAATTTTTCACTGTTTCCCTTCTCGTTCTCTTCAATTCAGTCTTCTATTGACAGGCATTTTAATTCCGATTGCTGCTACATACTATTTATATCTGCCAGCATAAGTATATATATATATGGTTTATGTCATTATTGGTAAGAGTTTGAATTATCCCGGTGTTGATATTCAGAACCGAATTTTCGATCAGTCTTTGTTGATATATATATATAGGGATTCTATCAAATATTTTACAGAATAAATAAATTGGGGATAACAGTGGAATCCAGTAGATGGGCATCTCATACTATTTCCAACTTGTCAGTTTAATGTACCTGCCTCCTAGTATTGATATATTTTTAATTAAGACTAATAGTGATATAAATACCATGTTCGTTGAATAATTTAACGGTAATCTAGACTTATTAATTTGGGGATACCACTTTGAGCTTTTGGAGTGAAAGGTATTAGGCACTCGCCGCAATGTAATAAATATCAAAACTGCAATGTGCGGGTACATCAATCTGATGAGTCTGAAACTTGAAGAATTACGTTTCCTGGATTTTACTACTAACCATATTACATCTATTCCATAAACATAAAAGTGTGAAGAATAGAAAATCTATCAACCATACAATTAATATAACACTAGATAGTTTCGCTTATCTATCTCTCTTCCTTTTTCCTATATTTTTTCCCAGTTCAAACGCATGTGTTTTCCCATCTTTCATTATTATTATTATTATTATTATTATTATTATTATTATTATAGACACTTGAATAAAACACATCAATTATCATTACAAGCCCTTGCTCAAGTTGAAGTATGTGCATCAAGGTTAGAATTGTACTTGAGAACAGTAAGTGTCTTTTCTTTCATCCATATAAGAATTATTATTATATATGATGAAACTTTCCTGTGTATGTGTTCAATTATTTTTAAAGAAGTAGTAAACAAATAAAATGGTTGAATTTATGGGTCGATCTATACTAAACCACCATGAAAAACCTGGAAGCACTGGACGGCCGTTTCGTCCCAGTGTGGGTTCGAGTCCTATGTGTGGGATCGTGGGTGCTCAATGCTGAGGAGTTCCACACTAGGATAAAATGACCGTCTAGTGCTTCCAGGTATTCCAAGGTGATCTAGCTTAAATCAACTCATGAATTCAACTATTAGATTACTACAATCTTCACAAACTCCCATTCTGAAAATAAACTGGTACTACTTAAAATTTACATACGTAATGCATTGATGAGTAGCTGTAAACTGATGATAAAAGTTGAAGTATAACGAGCGATGAAACCAGTAAGAATGTCGTGAGCCTTCAAAAAATTTAACTAGATATAAAGTTTATGATTATTCCAACAGTTGAAATCAATTATTGTCAATTGCTTGAAGGATTTTATGTTGGCTATGATCGATCGACCAACCGACTGACTGAAGATATCCGTCTGTCAACTAAATAACCTGTTTACTGAGTAGTAGTTTGCTTCATTCGACTTCATGGATGAGAAATATGAGTATTCAGAATAGGTGATATTTATAAGTTACTAGTATTCGGTTGTTGATGTCTTGGAAGTATCACTCATGAATTTTGGGACCACCGAGAAAGTAAGGTAAAGATGGCAAATCGACTGACGAGGTAGTAAATCTTCATAAAGTGGGGTGGTTGAGACGTGTGTTACGTTTTCTTAACCACTGCCTACCTCGACGGCGAATATAGTGTGGTGTAGGGGTAGACTGAAAGAAAACTGGGGGCAACCAAACCAAAACATGACACCAGGTTATGAAATCACTGACAATTAGACTAAGTCATGTAGCTAGATGTAGACTACGTGGTTGTGATTGGCGTGATTATCGTAACCAATGATTGGAGACTGTGGATGACATGATTCAGAATCGTTTGTGATGATGGAAGTTCATTGAATCTTCATCTTCTCTTAGATTGTAAAGTTTTGAATCCGTGATAATTTTTTTGCTTCACCAATCTATTTTTTTAAATCGTATTTTTTATGTTTGATCTTTTCTACTACCACTGATGCTGTTACTACCTCTGGTACTCTAGAATTTAACCTAAAAATCCCATCTCTTTATGCTAATAGAGTGCAGGAACTTGAACTGATGTACATACATACCTGGTTCGACGTAGCGGCCAATTGACGGACTGACTGAAGGGTTATATATATATATATATATATATATATATATATATATATATACGTTTGATCGTTCTAATCTACCACAAAGGATTTACTTATCCAAATAGTATTGAACTTTATGTGTTCTTAAGGGCTTGCATTTTACCGTTATTGATGTTTACGACCACAATCGATGAGTCTCGTTCGGCATATGTGCATCGTCAAGGGATGGCTATTTAGTGAGAGTTTTTGTTCATATTGCATTGTGGCTGACAGTGGAGAATTGGTATAAAGATCGACCCTACTGATTAAATTCCACTAATCACATCTCAACAGAACTTCGGGATTTACCTCTTGAAATTAGTCACTAATAAGTGCATAATTACTGTTAATGTATAGAGTAATGGAGTAATGAAAAGTCTTAAATTTTTGTCCATGCATTGATTTCATTTAGTTTTTTTCATTTACGATCTATTATTATTATTATTATTATTATTATTATTATTATTATTATTATTATTATTATTATTATTATTATTATTATTGATATGATTTAGGTTCGTAAAGAATCACAACGTTTAAATGCAATGGTACGACATCTAATCAGTAGAGCGCGTTGTGGTGGTACAACTTTTGAATGGTCAACTAATTCATCATTATCATCATCATTATGTAATTCAGTTCCTGCATCATTTGGAAATTGTTCATTAAATTGTTTTCCTGGATGTAATAGCAATACTACTACTAATAATAATAATCAAACAATTAATCAAGTTGGTTCCTTTAATTGGAATACAAATGAACATTTAGATTCTACCGTTAATTCCCTGGCAAATGGAACATTAGAATTGCCGGATAAGACAGAATTAGAATCAAGTTAGTTATTTCCCTGGATTTATTTTTTCATTCGATTGTATAGTAGATAGTAATAGATTGAACTGAAAGGGATTTGTCAATATAGTGCTGTGGAAATTGTTAAGTTTGATTGATTTCAATGAAAGTCAACAATCTCCACAACCTTATATTGTCAATTATCATGTGATCACTAGTCACTAGCTTTTAAAGGGAATTCTTGGAGTTATAGTAAGAAGTTGTGACCAGTGGAGACTTATCATGTTTGGTATGAGGCAGTTACCCACCGAAGACAATATAAGATGGTTGTACGGTGTCGTGAATTGATTGAAGTTAGACATTAACACCATTGGATGTCGATTTCAGTTGTCAAAAGGTTAAATGTTCGCGCATGTGACCGAAGGTTTAGTGTTCTGTTCTTGCATGCGGGTTTGTAAATTCACACTTTTGAGGAAACCCATACTAGGACGAAACGGCCTTCCAGTGCTTCCAGGTTTTAAATGGTCGTGTAACTTAAATGGGTTACTAATTTAAGTAAAGGGGATTTTGTAGAGATTAGCTTGATTCGTAGGTTGTATTTATTGTGGCTTGATGTTCGGTTATTTATCACGTGACTTATTTGCCAACGGGAATACGACTTATACAATCTTAGCACTGTGACAAACCAATGACGTATCGACCGGTATTAGCAGCCTAGCTTCCTTATTGATCCCTTTTCCTCCTAGCTCTGCCAGTTGAGTCTAGAACACCAATACCAGCTACCACTATACGAATTATTTGTTTCAAACATACCTGGTTAATATACAGGTCAAAACGGAAACCACACCAGCATTCCTAATTGGATGAACTTACTGTAGGTCGCGTTGAGAAAACTGTTGACCATCCTAGTAGCTGTTTCGTTAGCACTACTTAGGAGTCCTAAACTGAGACAAAATAGCTATTCAGCACTCCTCGGTTTTCAGTGGTACGTCTTTTGAAATTAGTTTGTGATGAATACTATTGTAACTTGTGATCTATTCAGTTGAGTCTACAGTGATCGTTAATTACGAACGGTCAAAATTATTTTAATTCAAGGGGAATTCACACACATAAGCAACTCTTCGACAACAATCTCCAACGATGGAATTCAAAAAGGACACAATTCAGAAGTTAAAATGGAACAACTCTCGATATACGGTAATCAATCATAACATTGGGGCACAAAGAAAAGTGGTAATAGCCTATCAGAAAGTAGCACAATCCAGTAAAACACGACTTAAAACCTCCTTGTGGAACTGTTGGGCCGTAGGGGGAATCTCATTATCTAACTTGGGCGGTCGACGGAGACCAGACTAATCCACCACACTGTCGTAACCGGTTTACTCAAAAACCCACAATTTAAGGCACCAAAATCGTATAGGGATACAGTTTGTACATGAATATAAATATGAATTAGATCAGTCTCGGATCGTGTAATTTGTTTATGTAGGTTATGAATGCCCTGGGCTTGAACTGAGTGAGATCGAGTAGAAAGTCTGCCATATGACAAAACAGACCTACCCTATGAAACAAATTCCGTCCAAGCTAAAAATAAAGGTGCAGCAAATACAATTGAGAAGAGTGGTGGCCATCAGCCCTCTCTTAAGATCGCTTTTGGCTGTTTATTTCAAGATGTGCATGGACGTAAGTCTTCGTACCTCGGACATATATATACACCGTATAAGTACCAGAAAGAGAAAAGACAATTTGCTCTATGAAACATATGGAGAGACAACCATCAATCCCATGTGTATGTTATGATGTGCATCAGCGTAAGCTTATGTATCTTTGATACACACTCATCATATAAGATGCTCAATCAGAAGATGAACATAGATTATACAATCATGACTCAAAACTCTTGTAACTATATTTTTTTAAAATGTCTGACTAGATAGTAAGTAACACAATTCGAAAATTATAATGTGTACATAACTTACTCATAAGTAATACAAACTAGAGTAATAGGAACATAATTGTTGATGATAAATCTGAACTGACAATACATATGATAACTATCCATGGGTCAAACGAAACCTTAGAATTAGGCTAATATAAAAATATAATAGTCTAAAAATCTAATATTTATGGCATAACAATATCAATACTCCTTTATATGATAGTCTCAAATGTTATACTTTCATATTACTCACGGCATTATCTCAGGTTCAAGTTGCTACACCATATCACCATTGAGTGATGCTAGAGTTATGGACATATAATGACAGTATTATTTATCAGTATAGGGTTGTAGAGATTGTTGAGTTTTAATTGAGATCATGAACCGATCAATGTTAGACCACCAGTATTATTTGTATTAGAAATGATTAGACATAGTATAATTTGAGGAAAATGAATGAATTTGTGAAATAAAACAATATAGGATATTTTTAGAACTCATGATCTAAGTGAAGATAGATAGTGAATGAATCAACGCTATTGTGACCGATTCTGAGCCATGTTATCCATATAATCGGCTTCAAGCTATTATTCCTTGAACACTGAATCATGCTTCCGGATCATCAATACTGACTGTAATCTAGATTGTTCATATTTCATATACTTCAAGAGGAAATATCCTCCTACGGTACATATGTAACCAAGAAGTGAGGAAACTTCCTATACACCTTTAACATTGTTCATTAATTGCATTACTTCTACCAAATACGTAAGCCTTGTTGATTGCTTATTCAACATAATAAGCTACACTTAAATAATTGGTATCATGTATATATATACGTATGCTTGATTTCAGATTCCGTATACGAATCCAAAGTACAAAATATTAATTCAATCTATCGTACTGATAATCCAATGCATTGTAGTCCAGTTTATAGTAATACAACAACTACTTCAGAATCATGGTGTACAGATCAATTAATTATACCTGATTGCACTGCAATGTCTGTGCTGCGTGATTTACCATTACATCATAGACGTAGTGCAGTACATTCATTAACATCACGTTGGTCTACATCGAATCATCATTCAACATTAGATACAACTTATGATTCAAATACATTGATAAATCAAATTCCCAGTAATAATAATGGTAGTAATAATACTACTAATAATAATATTAATAATTGTAATTTGCCACCTGCTCTACCCTTATTTCCAAATAATCCAAATGATTGTTCATCATCCAACAATAATATAGTGGATAAATTAACTATTCCCTCACCATCTACACCACCGACTTCATGTCATCCAGCTTTAATAGCTAGTGCAGCGGCAGCATTATTGTCAAGTGTTTCAAGTTTGCACAATCAAATCATCACCAGTATGTCAACTCATCATCCTGTTCTAACTGGTCAATTTCAAACTGCAACTGATCCTCAACTTCCTCATCAATCGACATCAGCGAACGCAGCTGCCGCGGCTATGGCGGTTGCAGCTGCGGCGGCAGCAGCTTCCGGTTTATCTAACCCTGCGTCAGTGTCATGGCTTCCAAGATCAACTGCCGCTGCGAATAATAATGGTAGCAGTAGTATTGGTGTCGGTGGCGGCAATACCACAAATTTTGATCCTAAAGAATTTGATACAACTGCTGCCGCGGCAGCAGCAGCAGCCGCCGCCGCTGCTGCAGCGGCTGTAGCTGCTTCTAATCCCGCCTCAGCAAATGGTGTATTTTTCGACTCGAATACCACAACTCCCATTGTTCCTGCTCCTCTGCCTCCACCTTCCGCCGCTCCTACAGCTGTCGCTGTCACTACTACCACTTCTCATACAAGCCTCACATCATCATTGTTTGATAAAGCTGTTAAACAACGTTGGTTCGATGCAACTAGACAAGACGAATTGATGATAACAACAACACCAACCCCACCACCGCTTCCAGCAATAACTTTAACATCAACGGCAGTAACAACGGTGACTTCGTTGCCCATGGCTGCGATCACCACTACTATGTCAGTAGTAGGGAAGTCATCTAATAGTAATAATAATAGTAGTAATAGTATTGGTGCTAGAACAAGAGATAGAGAGCATCAAATGAAACCATCTGTCAATCAGGAATCATCTATTATAGAATTGGAAAGACAAGGTAGAACTATTGAAAATTCCGATAAGTCCACAAGTATGTGTCTATTTATGTATATCTTTGATCAGATTGTTTTTGTTAGTTCATTTCCGCTGTATATTTATTTTACTGACATCATTATTATTGTGGTATCGTTTGATAATAGTCTTAAAATAATAGGGTTTGCACGGTTGAATTCACGAGGCGATCTAAGCTAGACCACCATTGAAAACCTGGAAGCAGTGGACGTTAGTTTCGTCCTAGCATGGAACTTCTCATCAATTTACACCCACGACCTCACGCGTGGGACTCAGACCCAGAACCTTTGGTCTAGAGCTAACGCTTAACCTCTAAACCACTGGGCCGTCATCGGGATCGTGTATGCTCACCACTGAGAAGTCAGGTACTAGGACGAAACGGCCGTCCAGTGCCTCCAGGATTTTAGTGAAGGTCTACCTTAGATCGACTTGTGAATTCAACTGTGAAAACACTACAATCTCCACAAATCCCCACACTGATAATAGGGTTTACCTTCATATGCTGTTGTAATTTAGTTGTAGCTTAAGATAAGGAATTTCAGATGTTATAGTATCTGAGCTTCTGTATGTTTAATCTTATCTTTCTAGACAACCTTATCAGCAAGCACTTCAAGGATAAGTGAACAATTAGAATTTTTCCGCTACAATTGACTAACCAGCTTGTTTTGTTTGACATTGAAATCATGAACTGATCTAAATTAAACAACCATTGAACAGTTGAAAGCACAATAAAACGTTTTCTTCTTAATATAGAATTTCCCGGGAGTGTGTGTTTACGACTCCTTCACAAGGAATCTAGCCTAGACATTATACCTGATGTCAATAAATGGTGAAAACCCTTATTTTAATCTACAACTATAAGTGTAGCTTTAATTCCCAATCTCAATTCTTCACATGAATTTATAACCCACTTTTGACCTTAGTAAGTGCTTGTTTGTTGTCTAGATAGGTAACTAAGGTTTTACGACTGAGATACCACCTATCTCAAGGGACATATTTCTAGAGGAGTTTCTCTTATTTATGCTAAATAACTGTAAAGGTTAGTTTTCATGTTATAACCTTTATTATTATTGTGATAACAACTTTTCGGTTGATGTTATCTGCCACATTTTCTAGGTTCGAGTAATATGTTATATCCAGCCTTTTCAGTTGTTATTCTGTTCATTTAGTCAGTGAGCATTACTTATTACTAGAGATTTATTGTTAAACACTAACCTTCAATAAATTCACGTTTTTCATCCTAGTTGTTGTGCTCTGTTACATTGACTTGTTCATAGCACATAGTTGAGGATAACTCGAGACTCTTGAAATGAAACCTTTAGTGAGAACTGCATTCTAACATGCACCACTCACGTACTGAGTGAACGAAAAAAAAGTTCCACAATGCTAGATAAAACAGATAACATTAACGCAGATAAAATGATGGATAACATCAACTCAACTCTGAATTAAATCTTTTAAATGATACTTATTTGAAATAGGGATTAATTAATAAAAAAAAATCTCATTGAATTCGGAGATGATTATGTCATATACGGAGAAGTAGTACCAATAGAAATGGATAGATAATGTAATTTTGTAGGTTTATAATATAAAACGCTTTGATTTGAGCTGTTCTTGTCTCTTATATTCTTACTGCCAATGAGGATTTTGGACAAAAGGTCTCATTCTTAGACAACGTAGTGAATATAATTTTTATCAATCAGTATTTAAATTTCTGATAATTGTGGCTTCAAGAAGATTTTAAATGATGATACATTGGTAACTTATTTTAGTTGACATATATATTGTTATTGATAACTTAATCCTCCCCCCCCCTTTCTATGTACTGAGCAATCAATAATGTATGGGCATGGGAACTTTCACGATACGACGGAACAGTGTTGAAAATTTTGACTTAGAACTTCGATTATCATTTCAGACGTAAGGTGAACACGCTTATATGGCCTATTCATACAGTCTCAATAATGTTCCCACATTGTCCTTTTATGACTTTCGCTATTTTTCATCCATCATTCAACATTCAGAAGAAAATCTTATAAAGTATAGTATACTCGGCTTAAAGGATAATTTACCTAGGGTTCATTGTTGTTATTCCACAATCACCACAAGTTTATGAGTAAACACACATTACTGTTGTAAAAGTAGTAGTTGTCTCTAGGTATCCCTATGTGTGTTTACCTCAGTTTTTGTTTATTCTTCATGGTTGATTTCTTTTCATATCGACAATGGCAGTGATATTATTGAGATCACAAACCAGTTTAAGTTAGACAACTATTGAAATCCTTAATTGATAGGACGGCCGTTTCGTTCCAATATGAAACCACTTAACAGTGCGCAGTTACAAACCTGGGACCTACAGTCTTTGATTCGAACACTCAACCTCTAAACTACCGAGTAGGAATCAAACTGTGCCACTAAGGAATCCCATGCCAGGATAAAACGGGTATCCAGTACCTTATGATTTTCAGTAGTTTTCTAATTTAGATCAGTTCGTAATCTCAACAACATTCAACAATTTTTACAACTCCATAACGACGGGGATGACGATGATGCTGAGAATTCTATGTTGTACCACAATATAATATTGAATAAAGCCATTAATAATAATAATAATAATTAGTAATAATAATAAATAGTGTTTTTAAGTCAGTGTTTAAGTTTCCTTTATGGTAAAGACATACACACACGTACACAGAGTAAGTGTAAGAGCAAGCTAGAGTGAAGGAGAGAATAAACTGGTTTTCACCTGAAGAGGAATTTTTCATTTCCCCTCAGTATTATTTATTCCCTGTACCCTATCCTATCTCCACAAAATATCTGATCATCGTTATAATCATCACCAAGATTATTATTTATAACATTCAGTCTTTAGTAGGCTTGCATCTAACTTGAAGGTACCTTGTGTTCTGGGGAGGGGGGGAGAGAATGTAAGAAGCAGTGCATAAAAGAATCTGGAAGAGAAAAGAGGAAGAAAAGTGAACTGACGACTCAGTAAATACCTAAACTGCACTTACATTTAATAATAAAACCAATCGATAATAATGAGAACTAACACAAGCATGAGATTATGACAATCTGATCATCGAAATGAGATGTTGATAGCATAAGTTTTTGAATGAGTGACATATTACCATCAACATGGTTGTTAAAAAGAAATCAAAATGAACCTTATTTATATCCAGTAAAGGCAAAGAATGAAATTATTTGTGTGTGTGTGTGTATTTAAGCTTTTTTATTTGCACACCAGGCCTATTTTTCTATCTCTTTCGTTTACTTGTTTGTTTGTTTGTTTGCATAATTTTTCTTGCTGTTAGGAGTAGTGGAGGTGGGTAGGGTTAGATTGTTTATGTTTTGTCTTGTTTTTACCATGTTTCAAAATAGTAAAGACATTGTTTATTACGTCATTTGTATATGAGATTATATAGATGATAAACAGATGTACCTCATGTACCTTAACTACTCCTGACTAGTCGGGAGAAAGGGGAATACCAACTGAGAACAATAGAATACAGTTAACTTTTCAATCATAACACAAGTTGTTTCTTATTTTAATGGAAGAAATGACGGAAAACAATAACATTTCATCCATTAGACAGTGATAGTGTGCTTTTTTGGAGGGGAGGGGAATAGTGGACAAAGTAGGTTGATATACATAGAGAGCGAGAGAGATTTGACTGAAATACTAATGTGTTAAATATTGATTATTTGATCGACTACATTCATCCATTTGATTAACATAACTGAAATGATAATTCTCCAAACACACAGGAAGACAATGAAAAAATTTTAAAATCCTAGTTGTGAATAAACATTTAAGTATCTGACAACGTCACAGCACAGATTCAGAAAGCTTGCTAAGCTTTTGCTACATTGTGTCACTGCAGGCATAGGCAATTTGTCTGTCAATTAACCGAAGGACGACACAGTAGTATATTTGTCCTGCTCTACTTTATGGCTATAAAATGTGGCCTTCAAAAATAGCAAATATTCTCAGGTTATTGATTTTTAACCAATTGATGCCTTTAAAGGCAGGCACCTGTATGTTTGGAACATCAAGTGAGCAATGTTGAGGTTACACACACATGGTACTAGATAAAGATGGCAAATGAGATGACAGGGCTGTTGATTTTTATCAACTGATACGGCATGTGTTACGTATGCCCAACCATCGCCTACTTCGATGGGTGATGTTCACTGGTGCAGGATTAGGTTATAAGAAAGCTATTGGTACCCAAAATAACACGTAAAATCATTCCATGAAGTTGTTGACTACTGAGTTGAGTCGTGTATGTCGGTTTAAACTACGTGGTTCGAATCTACTCAATTATCATGGCCAAATGGTTAAGGCTTTGAATGATATGACTCAGGATTGGTCACAATGGCGCATTTACATTCACTCTTTATCATCAAATACATGTACTTTTTATTTTGGAAATTCGTTCTTCCTTCTCCAATCATACTAATTGCGCTTAGTATTTTCTAGTTCCACTGATAGTGTTACTAATTCGACTATTATGGTATTTTTCTTAATAGTTCCATCTCTCTCTCTGTTAATGTAAACTGGTTCAGATATATATACTTGACAGGTTCTACATTGTTTGTATTGGATAGTAACAAACAGTGACAAAAAGCAATACGAGTTTCTTTTCTGAGAAACCCATCAATTGAATTTAATTGTTTGTCAATATTTGCCGGTTTCACCAAACACTCTGATATCTGAATAGAATATTTATTATGAGAGAGAAAGAGAAAGAGAACGAGAGTGTTGTTCATTAAGATTTCTTTCATCTTCTTTTTTGAGTTTTACATTCCGCGAGCTGGGTAGTCTGTTCGTGTGTTAAAACCAACATTCAGCTTAGAGAATAATAGGACATCAGCAAAATCCTCTCCTACTGAACAGCTATAGACCTTTTACACCATCTCTAAAACTTTTTTTTCAAATAATTGGACAGGTTCTATTTCTGTCAAACTGTTTGTTCCAATAATGATGAATATTCATATAAATTGCACGGGTCA